GATTCGATACATCTGCAGAAAAGACCCCCCCCTATCCCTAATGTCTTTGGCTCTCCTCACTTAGGTCCCCCCCGAATGGTTAGGGGTCCTTTTCTGGTAAATCATCGGACCTCTGATGCCCAGGTCGCCGAGGTGGGGCCAGAGATGGAGTCGGAGCACCGCGCCGCATCGCCATCGCGAGTGCGTCGGCGACGCGGCGCCATCCGCAGCCCGCTCGCTCCCATCCTGGCGCCGCCGATGCTTCGGCGATGCACTGGCGATGCGGAGCGAGCCTCCGCCCCCGACTGCTCCGGCCCCACCTGGGCAGGCCTCCGTGATCTGGCCGAGAGGTATAACTCGGCGCGGTCCTGCCGAAGGGAGGACTCGCGAGGGGGGTGCGTGTGTGCCCCTGGAGGCCAGCGGCTGCCGAGCCAGAAGGGCCCGGTAGCCGGGCCGAGTGTGTCGTAATTCGACGCCGACGCTGCATGCCCTTTCGCTCTGTCGAACGCCGTGGCCTCATGAGCAGTCCGCGGGAAGCAGGATCAAGGATCGAGTCTTGGTTTCTGCCGCTGGCCCTCCTCTGTCTCTCTCTCTCTCTTGAAGAAGAAGAAGAATAAGACGAATAAGAAGAAGAATCATAAGAAGAATAATAAGAAGAAGAAGACTACTACTACTACTACTACTACTACTACTACTACTACTACTACTACTACTACTACTACTACTACTACTACTACTACTACTACTACTACTACTACTACTACTACTACTACTACTACTACTACTACTACTACTACTACTACTACTACTACTACTACTACTACTACTACTACTACTACTACGACTACTACTACTACTACTACTACTACTACTACTACTACGACTACTACTACTACTACTACTACTACTACTACTACTACTACTACTATAATAATAATAATATTAATAAGAAATAATAAGAAGACAAATAAGAAAAAACGCCATAAACATACACTTGGCGCTCCGCACGGATTTCTTGGGTCTGAGCTGGAGCGCCTTGGCGGCGCCTCCGGCACCGCCCCTGGCGCGCTCCGCGCGCCAGAGAGGGGGGTCCAGCTCAGATCCAAGAAGTCCGTTCGGACTGCCAAACGTTTATGTTTATGCCGTTTTTTTGTTCCTCTATCCTCTGCCCCCTCTTCCCCCCTCTCCCGGTCCTCTCCTCACGGTTCCCCCTCGTCTTGACTTGAGGGGATCTGGCTTCTTGGCTGGCTGCAGCGCCCTGGAGGTCCCAGGCCAGAGCCTTTCCTCATCTGTGTAACTGTTGGTCTCGTTTTTCACACCGGGGGTGGACCTAAACGGTGTTTTGGCGATTTCGTGGGCCGTTTTCGTTTCGATCTCGTTTTGCAGCAAAGGAGAGGTTGGAGACAAAACGAGGGAAAACGAGCACAAAACGAAAACGAACAGCACTGTTTTGGTCGAGCCCTGCTTCACACGAGTGTGCACGGCCCCGCGGCGAGAGCCTCACATGGAAGACGGTCCGCCCCCCCATCCGTGGAGCAGTTGCACGCTTCAAGCTTCCGCATCGTACGCGGGTGCGGGAATCTCTGGCGAGTCGCCCGGACCGCCGGACCGTCCTGACGGCACAGCCGGTGGTGTGACAGGGAGGAGTTGTCCACAAGGGAAGTGGGACGGAGGGAGGAAAGGAGGGAAGAGGGGAGAAGAGGGAGAAGTAGAGGGAGCACGACCACGAATATTAGGCCAGATGGGGAGGAGTTGGAGGAGGAGGAGGAGCAGGAGGAGGATGAGTGCGGGGGATCCTATTCAGTGGCTTACGCCATTCCGCCGACCCCCACAAGGAGTGAGTGCTTGACACGATTGTGGAAGCTACATCTTGGGCCAGGAGCCTCCTGGATGAATCTGAGAGTCTCTTGGGATGCCTCTCTGCGGCCTCTTGGAGAACTTTCCGGCTTGTCGTGCGAGGTTTTTTGGGGCCCCGTGGGGGCCTCTGGGGGGCTTCTTGGGAGCGTCTTGGAGGCCTCTTGGGGCCTCTCGTCTTGGAGGGCCCCTGGGGCTGTCTTAGGGCCCTCTTGGGGCCTTTTCGGAGGCATCATGGGCCATCTTGGGACGATGTTGAGGGCCACTTGGGCCGTCGTGTTCGCTGTCAAAGCGTGGAATGCCAATGAACATGCGCGCTTTTCCAAGGAATGGAATGAGTTTGGCCTCTTGGGGCCCTCTCGGTGATCCTCTCATGGCGTTTTCGTGCTGTCTTGGGGGCCTCGTGGGCCATCCTGAAGCCATCTTGGATTGTCCTGCCGTGGGTTGTCATGGCGCTCTCTTCGACTGTCTTGGCGCCCTGTCTGGGCCCTGTTGGGCTGTCTTGGGGCTTCTTGGGGGCTCCAGAGGCCCCGGGGGTGCGTTGACGAGCTCGTCCCCCCCCCCTCCCCCACACCCCTAGAATGGCATTGTGATCGTTTTCTTATTCATCGTTTTGTCGATCGGCGCGGGCCGTCGCAAACCCCCCCTCCCCCCCATGGAGTCGCTCTTGGCTGTTTTGGGCGCTTGTTTCGAGGAGGTGGAGTCTCCCCCAGAGGACGCACGATTCCAAACAGTGGCATTAAGCAGAGGTCTGGATCCAGACACCCCCTCTCCCCCCCTTCCTTCCGCCCAATGTCGAAACGCCGAATGAGAGAACGCTCACATTTTGGACCTCAGGGGAGGGGGAGAGGGGGAGGGGCGCAGCCAAATGTCTCACAGGCTTTTTCCCCCTCTGGCAAGTGGGGGTCAGCGTATCCTCATACTTTCTGCCCCTCGACCTCCTCCCCTTCCCCGTCTTCCTCCTCCTCCTCCTCCTCCTCCTCCTCCTCCTCCACCTTCACCTCTTCCACCTCCACCTCTATCTCCTTCACCACCATCTCCTCCACCTCCACCTCCACCTGTACCTCCTCCTCCTGACCTCCCTCCACAATACTCCATGAGTACTGCTCTCCTCTCTCGCCTGACTCCGTCTGGAAGATAGCCGTTTCTCTCCGCGCACCATTTTTGCACACATAATTGGACAACGTAGCCTCTCATATGCTTTTCGGTGTTGGGAAATGGTGCTCACGCTACAGCGTTGGCCTCATTTTCAGATCGGCGCTTTGCTCCTGTCGTTCAGAATGGCGGTCTCTGGATCCGAGTCCTTTTTCATCGATGCCACCCCTCCGCCTTGCTCTGGTCCTCCTGTACCTCCTGCTCCTTCCGCTCCAGTTCCTGGTGCTGCTGTCCGTCCTCGTCCGCCTCCTTCCACCTCCTCCTTTTCCCCCTCCTACTCATGCTGATCCTCTTGCTCACCCGCCACCACCTCCTCCTCTGCCTATGTGCGCAGCTCCCCTCTTTACGATTGCGTCAAGCACGATGGGGTCTTGTTTGGTAGTTCGAGGCCGGCTATGACACGCGTCAGCGGAGATAGAAACGATCAGGTGAGCGGAAGGGATTGATGGTAGGGATACGATGTGGCGCAAGCGCACGTAGTTTGTCCCTCTTCCCCTCGCCCCCCCCCTCTCCCCCTCCTCCTCCTCCTCCTCCCCCTCTTCCTCCTCCTCCTCCTCCTCGTCCTCCTCCTCCTCCTCCTCCTCTTCCTCTTCCTCCTCCTCCTCCTCATGCTCTTCCCTCCCTTCCCCGACACCGCACCCACCGTCCCCTCCCCCCCCCGAAAGATGGAGTACAACATGGGCTGGCTCGTCCAGGCCGAGGCGCCGCCTGGCGCCCTCCTCCGCAAGTTCAAGCAGGCCCCAACGGGGGCGGCCGCGCGCGCCTCCCCTGCCGTCGGGGGGCGACTTCCTCGTCGGTCGCCTCGCAGGGTGAGGAGGGAGGGCGAGGAGTGAGGGAGGAGGAGGAGGAGGAGGAGGAGGAGGAGGAGGAGGAGGAGGAGGAGGAGGAGGAGTGAGGGAGGAGGATGATGATGATGAGGAGGAGGAGGAGGGGGAAGAGGAGGAGGAGGAGGAGCAGGATGATGATGATAATGATAAAAACACGACTGCGAATAATACAACGAACACTTATCTAAACTAACATTAACGGTGCTAATGCTAAGCATAATAATAGTACTACTACTAAGACTACTACGACTCATAATACGTTTAGTGCTAATAATAAGAAAGCGAGGAATAACACCCATACTAAGAAAACGAAATAACAGTAATACGAATAAACACAACAATAAACACATGCATAATACTACTACTAATCAACATACTGATACTAATCACAAGAAGGCGACTAATACTATGAATGCTACTAAGAATAATATTGACACTAGTACTATTAACAATGATACTACTACTACTACTACTACTACTACTACTACTACTACTACTACTACTACTACTGCTACTACTACTACTACTACTACTACTTTTACTACGACTACTACTACCACTACTACTACTACTACTACTACTACTACTACTACTACTACTACTACTACTACTACTACTACTACTACTATTACTACTACTACTACTGCTGACTACTACTACTACTACTACTACTACTACTACTACTACTACTACTACTACTACTACTACTACTACTACTACTACTACTACTACTACTACTACACTACTACTACTAAGCATATCAATATTACTACACACGAAAAACAATACGAATACGAAGAGGAGGAGGTGGGGAGGAGGAGGAGGCGGGGCGAAGCAGGGGCGAGCGGAGGAGGAGGAGGAGGAGGAGGAGGAGGAGGAGGAGGAGGAGGAGGATGCTCGAAATCCCAGTCTGCCCCCCCCCCCCCCGGGGATCTGCTCCACAGGTGCCTGTTCCTCGAGGGCTTCCGCGTCCAGAGACGCAGCGGAGTCGCGGTCGGGCGGGAACACGCTTTTCCGTCGCGGCGCGGCGGAGGCAATCCGCTCGCGCGAATGGCGAAGCCGGGCTACTGAGTCGCGAATTGTGGCCCGCATCCAGGAGGGAAGAAGAGGGGAGAGAGGTTGGCCGCGGAGAGAGGGTCCCCCCCCCAGGAACACTTCTAGCAGCAACCGAATGTATGGTGAAAGGGTTCCTAGAGGAACGCTGAGGAGGAAGAGGAGGAGGAGGAGGAGGAAGAGGAGGAGGAGGGGAGGAGGAGGAACCGACAGGAAAAGGAGGAGGAGAGGAGGAGGGGAGGAGGGGGAGGAGGAGAGGGTGGAGGAGGACGAGGAGGAGGAGGAGGAGGAGGAGGAGGAGGAGGAGGGTGGAGGAGGAGAGGGTGGAGGAGGAGGAGAGGAGAGGAGCGAGGAGGAGGGGAGGAGGAGGAGAGGTAGGAGGGCGGAGAGGTGGAGGGGAGAGGTGGAGGAGGAGGAGGAGGAGGAGGAGGAGGAGGCAGGAGTAGGAGGAGGAGGAGGAGGAGGAGGAGGAGAGGGCGGGAGGAGGAGGAGGAGGAGGAGGAGGTATGGGGCAGCGAGGGAGGAGGAGGAGGGCAGGAGGAGGAGGAGGAGGAGGAGGGGGAGGATGAGTAGGAGGAGGAGGAGGTGGAAGAGAGGAGCAGGAGGAAGAGAGGTGGAGAAGAGGTTGTGAGAAGGAGGAGGTGGAGGAGGAGGTGGAGGAGGAGGAGTTGAGGAGGAGGAGGAAGGGGGGGCCCACGTCCCTGGGCAGGCGAACTATTACTTTCTCGGACGCAGCAGTGAAACCGAAGCGCACGTAACGCGGCGGGCGTTGGGGGCCAGCGCCTCCCTGATGCTTGCCTTCCAGGCACTAGGGGAACGCTGAGCAGGATGATGATGATGATGATGATGATGATGATGATGATGATGATGATGATGATGATCATGATGATGATGATGATGACGATGATGATGATGATGATGCTGATGATGCTGATGATGATGATGATGCTGATGCTGATGCTGATGCTGATGCTGATGCTGATCATGATGATTCTGATGATGCTGCTGATGATGATGATGATGATGCTGATGATGGTGATGGTGATGGTGGTGGTGATGGTGATGGTGATGGTGATGGTGATGCTGATGATGCTGCTGATGCTGCTGATGATGATGCTGAGGTTGATGATGCTGATGATGATGCTAATTCTGATGCTGATGATGATGATGCTGCTGCTGATGATGATACTGATGATGCTGCTGATGATGATGACGATGCTGATGCTGATGCTGATGATGATGTTGCTGATGATGATTCTGATGATGATGCTGCTGATGGTGATGCTGCTGAGGATGCTGATGCTGCTGATGATGCAGATGATGACGATGATGATGATGATTATGATGATGATGAGGATGATGATGGTGATGATGATGATGCTGATGCTGATGCTCCTGATGCTGATGATGCTGATGATGCTGATGTTGATGATGATGATGATGCTGATGCTGTTGATGATGATGATGATGCTGATAATGATGCTGATGATGCTGAGGGTGATGCTGATGATGATGCTGATGATGCTGATGATGACGATGCTGATGCTGATGCTGATGATGATGCTGATGATGATGATGCTGCTGCTGATGGTGATGACGATGCTGATGATGATGGTGATGATGATGATGAGGATGATGATGATGATGTTGGTGATGCTGATGCTGATGGTGATGCTGATGCTGCTGATGATGATGATGCTGATGATGATGATGCTGATGATGCTGATGATGATGATGCTGCTGATGATGCTGATGATGATGATGATGGTGATGATGATGATGATGAGGAGGAGGAGGAGGAGGAGGAGGAGGAGGAGTAGGAGGAGGAGGAGGAGGGTAGGAGGAGGAGGCGGAGGAGGAGGAGAGGAGGAGGAAGAGGAGGAGGAGGAGGAGGACGAGGGGGGATGGTGACGCTGATGATGTGATGTGATGATGATGATGATGATGATGCTGCTGATATGATGTGATGCTGATGATCATGCTGAGATCATGTGCTGATGAATGATGTGATGATGATGACGCTTGATGATGATGTGATGATGATGATGCTGCTGCTGATGATGAGGATGATGAGATGAGTGGAGGATGACGATGATGTTGATGCTGATGACTGACGATGATGATGTGAATTATGATGATGATGCTGATGCTTGATGATGATGATGATGACTGGTGACTGGTGATGGTGGTGGTGATCGTGATGTGAGGTGATGATGATGATGATGGGTGATGGTGGTGTGATGCTGATGATGTGCTGATGATGATGATGATGACGATGATGATGAGATGGTGATGGTGATGGTGGTGGTTGATGGTGATGGTGATGGTGATGATGATGATGATGATGAGATGGTGATCGGTGGTGATGATGATGTGATGATGTGATGCTAATGCTGCTGCTGGGATGATGTATGATTTATGTGGTGGTGGTTGGGTGGTGATGATGAAGATGACTATGCTGCGGATGCTGATGCTGTATGATGATGTGGTCTGATTATGTTGCTGATGCTGTTTGATGTATGGTGATGATGATGGTGGTGGTGGTGGTGATGGATGATGATGATGTGATAATGATGATGACGATGATGCTGAAGTGATGCTGATGCGATGCTGATCGTGAATGATCATTATCATGATCAGATCATGATGATGATGATGATGATGATGATGTTCATGATGATGAATGATGATGGTGGTCGTGGTGTGTGATGATGATGATGATGTTGTGATGATGATGTGATGCTGTGATGATGATGGATGATGAGATGTGGTGATGATGATGATGTGATGATGATGAATGAGGAGGAGGAGGAGGAGGAAGGAGGAGGAGGAGGAGGAGGAGTGCGCCGGCTCCCGATTACAGAGCTCCGGGCGGCGCGGGCGAACACGCGTCCACCGTAGGAGAAGGTGGAGGAGGAGGAGGAGGAGGAGGACGAAGAGGAGGAGGAGGACGAGGAGGAGGAGGAGGAGGAGGAGAACGAGGCAGAACGAGAACCCAGAATCAGTCAACGAGGCGCCCGTGAAACTTGAGACGACCCTGAACCAAGCTACTGATCCGAATCGGGGCGGTCGAGCGAGACAGCCAGCAGGTCTGGCCAGGGAAGGCTGCTTGCGCGGAGCAACGTTGCGCAGAGTGCACGGCTCCGAACGCGCCACTACACAAGGGTAAGCGGCGGGACTCACGCAGCACGAGGAGGAGGAGGAGGAGGAGGAGGAGGAGGAGGAGCCTCTCCCTCTTTCCCTCTCCCTCGCTCCCCGGAGGTCGTCTCGGCGGGGCAGGCCAAACCAGAGGACGTGGCGTTTTACTTCACGCACTGGTTCACCGACCTCGCCGGTGCCGAGCCCCACCCACAGGACGGCGCCGCCCTCCTCCTCCTCCTCCTCCTCCTACTTCTCTTCCTCGATCGTCGAGGTTCGAGATTTGGGACACTTTTGGTTCTCCAGGGGCCTGAGGCTTCCGGGAGCCTCTGGAGGCTTCTGGGGCCCTCTGGGGAGCTCCAGGGGTTTCTGGCCCTTCCTCTCTGGGAGATGTCCAAGCTTCTAACTTGCCATGCTGGAGGTTTTGACCTCCACTGGCAGTTTCCAGCTTGCGTCCTTTACCCTGGAGATGCTTGCGCGTTTTTGTGTGTGTGTGTGTTCGATTCCTGGAGGTCTTGTGGGTCTTGGAGGCTTCGGGGATGTGTTTATGGTCCCCTGGAGGTGAACTGCAAAAACATCCGGGGCGCCTCGCGGCATGGCACCGCCATCCCCGCGGTGCGGAGAGTCCCCCCTGGGACAGGCCCCGCCATTTCGCCGATGGCCGACGGAGTGTACGGCAGGTTCGCGCGACGTCGGCGTGGCGGCGACGCTGGCGCGGATCGGAAAGCAGCAGTCGTTCGAGGTTGGCCGATCCACGCGGTGTCGGGAGCCTGCGGTAGGAGAGCCGGATGCAGGGTGATTTCGCTTTGGGCGGGCACGGACTTTCGACGCCTTTGGCCCTACCTGGGCCCCTTCAGGCCCTTCGGAGGCCTCCGGGGCCTTCTGTGGACCTTTGAAAACATGTGGATGGAGCGTGCAGCCAAGACGTTGAAGGAATGACCACGTTGGGCTCTGGAGGGGCTCTGGTTTTCGGGCCGCTCCTTAGGGCCGGGTCGTGGAGCCTCTTTGCGGCCGGGGCTGGCAGTGGCCAGGAAAGCCGCTTGCTTTCCGCATCCAGCGCTCAGTATGGTGGCACGATGGCCATCGTCCGACGCGGGCGCCTATACACCACCACCGTGCCAGGCCAGGGCCATCCTGGGCCCCAGGATGGTGTATTAGACCCTCCTGGCCTCGGCCAGGAGGGCGCATACATCATGCCGGGGCCAGGATGGCACTGGCTTGGTGCGGTGGCGGTGTATAGGCGCCTTCTGCGCATTTAGGTCCACCTCGCTTGGTCTCCGCCGATGCAGCGCTGGAGCACTTTTGGCCTCCCCTGGGCGCACCTCGTGCTCCGCGTGTCGGGAGGGCCCTTCTGTTCCGAGGCGGGGGCTTCCAGCCAGACCCGCCGCCGGGGGGGTCGCTCTTCGGGGATCCTGGCAGGTGGTGGATGGGGACGCATTCCCAGGCGATCGCAAACACGGACCAAGGGGGCGTGGACTGGCGACGGGTCCCGGCTGATCGAGGTGAGCGGGAAATCGCGGATTCCCGCGGCCGAGCGAGGCGGCACCGGTAGCATTTCGGAGAGGGCACCTCCCCCGATCCACGGATTTGGCGACCGCGCGCCAAATCCATGGATCGCTAATCCATGTTTGCGCGCCCCGATGTTCGTCCGAGGGGGCAGCGGTCGGGCCGAACGAAAGGGGGGGATAGGGAAAGGGGGGGTTACGAAATCTGCTGCACGCAGCTGGTTTCGGCCCCGCCGCCGGGCCCATTCCTCGATACAAGGGCGCCTCCCGGCGCCAGGAGGCGCTTGGAAAATCAGCCACGTGGGCTGATTCTCTACCCTGCCCTTTTCTATCCCCCCTCTCGTTCCCCCCGAGAGTTGGAGGCACAAAAGAAGACCGATTCCGCAGCTCCCGAGACCTCTCCCGGTCCGGGGAGCTGCGGAGTCGGTCTTCTTTTGTGCCTCCACGTCTCGGGGGGCCACAAAAAAGCGGCAACGAGGGCAGGGCAGCGGTATCAAGGCCTTTTTCGGGGGGAACGAGAGGGGGGGATAGCGGCGGGGCCGAAACCAGCTGCCTGCAGCAGATTTCGTAACCCCCCCTTTCCTTATCCCCCCTGTCGTTCGGCCCGACCGTCGGGCTCTGGGGAGTCAAAGATATCCATATTCACCGCCTGCCGAAACCTCCGTCGTCGCGGGCAGGACAGGCACTCGGGCCCAAGCAGGCCGGTCCGTCCGTTGGGATGGCCACTCCAGGACCCAGAAGTCGTCCACGCTGATACGGCGCATGTGCGTGGTATGCTCTTTCACGGCTGGCAGCTCCGTTCGCTGCCAGTTACCGGAACGCGCCACTGGCATAACGCTTCAACGGCCGCGTGAATGCCGAGGTCCCCGAGTATCGATCACCTAGGGGGCCACATGCGAACCCTAAGGGGGAGGGTGGGGTTCACTTCGCTCGTGAGCTCCCGAACGAAGTGAACCCCAGCCTCCCCTTCAGAAATCGTGGGGGGTTGGGGCAGGGTTCGCATGTGGCCCCCTGTCACCCTCAGTTGGCGGTTCTGGGTCGGTTCCCACCGCGCATCTCTGCAGTCGGGCCCTCGGCGGCGGGACGCCCGTCTTCCCGATGGCACCGAGGTTGGTGCGCCCCACGTGGCGTCGGGTCCCGGCTGCGGTGCTCTTCGGAGGGCCCGCAGGTTGGGCTTCCGCTCCTGGGATGATGGGCCCGTTTTCCACCACGACCACCATGAGTTGGAGGGGGAGGGGATCCTCCTCCTCCTCCTCCTCCTCCTCCTCCTCGTCTTCGTCCTCCTCCTCCTCGTCCTCCACCTCCTCCCCCCCCTGACTTGTGGTGGTGGTGGTGGTGGAAAACATGCCAAGCATGGGAGGTTACATTCAGCATCGCCGCTGGTACAGTCGGCCCTGGTTAGTAGGTCGACCTTGTGTCCTGTGTCTCGCGACCCATGCCTCCTGCACTCCCATAGCAATGTGGCCCTCGGAAGGGTCTTGTGTCCCCTCGCGTATCCTCTCCAATCAGGTCCGATAGTATATCTGTGGTCGAGAACGGGCTTCATATGGCATAGTCCCGCTTAGTCCCACTTGGGCCCGCTCAATCTGGCCTGATCCCGGGTTCAATTTCGCCTCATCTGGCTCAATGGCCCCCTTTGGCTTCTCTAGCCGTTCATCATTCTTAAGAAGACCTCACCGGGCTTGCTCCTGACGCAGGGGCTTCTGGCGGCTCCCCCGTGCCGAGAGGGTGCCGTTGGGAGACCGTAGCAGGGATTCGCCAGAGCGTCCAGGGTGCTCCAATCTAAAAAAAAAAACGCCATAAACATAAACTTTTGGCGTTCCGCGTGGATTTCTTGGCTCTGCGCTGGGCCCCTTCGGCGGCGCCTCCAGCGCCGCCTCTGGCGCGCTCCGCGCGCCAGGGAGGGGGGGCGAAGCGCAGATCCAAGAAATCTGCGCGGAGCGCCAAAAGCTTATGTTTATGCCTTTTTTCTTTCTTCTATCGCAGTTCCTCGTGCTCAAGCAGTGGCGAGGCGTCCTGGCGTGCCTATAGACCCACCAAACAATGTTATAAAGTTTTTTTGTGGTTTCCACGAAGTGTTCGTAGAACATATCTGGCTGGGACCGTCTTGTTTTAATCCATCGGGTTTATGTTCTAAGAACATTGTTGTTGTTCTTAGTACATTTTTTCGGTTCTAAGAGCCTTTCGTGGTAGGCCTATGAAGATGCCGGGTCGGTCGGCCCCTGCTCAACATGCATACTTATCACATGTGAGTATTGTTTTTTTGCCGATTTCTTCCAGGCATGCGCCTCGGCGCCCCCTCCGCCGCGCTTTCATGGCGCCACACGCGCGGAGCCGAGTCCGAGTCCGAGTCCGAGTCCTCTCTCCCCCTCGATGTCTGTCCTTGGGAGCCCTGGGCGGCGACGTCGAAGTCAGTCTTGTCTGCACCTGGGGGACCGCAGTCGGACCGCACCTGGCCATTCCTCCTGCTCCTCCTCGCCCTTGCGGCTCTCCTCCCCCCTCCTCGCGCCCCTGTGAAGGGGCGGGTGCGGTTCAAGTCTGGTCTAAAGCCGGTCCAGACATGTTCCACGTCCGTCGGGGCTCAAGATATGGGGGTCAATGCAAACGGGGGTCAGCCAGAGCGCCCGATCTTGCAGGATCCTGCAGGGGCAAGGTCGCATTGACCCGGGTCTGGGTGCAGGGTCTTGCAGGATCCTGCAGGGTCTTTCGCATTGACCCAGGTTTGGGTGCAGGATCTTGCAGGATTCTGTAAGGCCTGACCGACCTTGGTCTGGATTGACCCGGGTCAGAAGATCCCCGAGTCCAGCCCCACTCTGGCCCAAGTCGGACAGGTCCAACTCAGGCCTCCTGGAGCGAACAGGCACTAAGCCACCCTCAGGAGTGCCGGGAGGCCCGGCGGCTCTCGGAGCTCGGCGCGCGCGAGGGCCGCCGACGCGTCATGATCCCTGTTCTGTCGCGTCGGTGGGGTCGTGGGGGCGAGTCTTCGCGTCCGTCACAGGGAGAGCTCGCGCGCGCCCGGAGGCGGAGTCTCCTGCGGTTTTTGGGAGCCGCGTCGCAATGTTCCTCGAGGGGACGGGGGGGGGGGTTGAGCCACGTGGGAGGGGTGGGGAGGGAGGGATCACCTTGTCCGAAATCAACCCCTCACCCCTGATGTATAGTCCGTGCGACGCCAGGGGGGTGCGAAGTCCCTCTGGACGGGATGGGGTGGGCACCAGAGGGCACCATAAGGTTTTCACCAACCAAAAGTGTGCGCCGTAGTCCTACCATCATCAAAGGGGGTACACCATATTTCCTCCACCCTGTATGACTTTGCCCCCTTGTGCCAACACTCTGCCCGATGCCTGCAGCCATTTGGGCTAAGGCGTTCGGCCGATTTTAAACGACGGTTGGGCGCGGATGCTGGCTCTTGGGCCGTGCGCCCTAGACGCCCCGCCGCGGCGGGTCTGCACGGTGCTTTATCAATGCGATGTTTTCGGCCCACGCCTCACGCTGCAGGTGGAGGAGGCCGAGTTCGAGGGAACTCTTGTGCAAGTGGCAGCGGCCGCGGACCTCAGCGTAGAGGAGGCGCGGCGGCCGCTGACAGAGTTCGTGAACCAGGCAGTGGCCGAGGAGCCCGTACAGAAGCGTCCGAGGGCGTTCCATGGTTGCCCTGAGCGAGCCATGCTGGGGGACGCCGCGGTGTGGTTCAGGATAACTCGGGCCTCGATCGCTGGGGCGCGTTCGAGGCCCCGCCGCCGCCAGGGGTCCGCGCGATGACGGGGAGCCTCTCGGCTCGGAGGTGCCCCGCGGTTGCTGGGATGAGCCTTTGCTCGGTGGAGGCCACGCCTGATCGCACTGTTCGATGAGATGGGGGCGCTTTTCCTTGAGACGGCCCGATCCCATATTGATTCGGAGCAGGCGGAAGGACGGCATCACGGGCCGCACGCGCATCAACACGGTGAGGTCGCACGTGCGGGCCATGGAGACGATGTGCAGGTGGCTCTTGCGCGCGCTACGGGCGTGCAGTGGCTGCAGGACCGTGTGGGCCGTTGGTGCTCAACCAGACCCTGTGCGCCATGGTGCGGACGGAGCGTGTGGCAGGTGTGGGCCCCAACAACGAACTCTCCACTCGATCGGAGGCAGAACAGGTCGTCGCGAATGTGGGCATGCTCGTCGGTGTGGGCAAGGTATCGGCGACGAAGTCGGCGCGATTCTCCGGCGCGTTCATCGGGGCCCTGGAACGGCTGGTCATGGACGAGGACCTCGCGCATCACCTGCGCGGGGTGGCTTGGCCTCGCCTCGTCAAGGCTGGGCAGTCCTGCTATGCGACGACCGCAGGTGGCTTCAGCCGCACCTCCTCGCCTTCGTGGGCGGGGGGCTGGCGGCCAATCTGGGGCGCGGGAAGACTAGCG